TTAATATGAGTTTCACACATTAAAAATAAAGATTATCATTTTTCAAATCATGTCACATATAAATTTTATGTCTCCAACTGTCAATTTGATGACGTCATAAATTATTGTACTTTAATTGTTACTGATTTTAAAGTTTATATTACATTTTATAAAAATTAAAAAGATGAGATCTATTATGTAAAAAGACAGATAATTCTGAATACAACAGTGCAATTTAAACTAATTAATCTGTAGAACAAGACTCAAAATCTTTTTTTAAAAAAAAGAGAAAAATCTTGTCATACATTATTTCGACAATATATATGTGGTCAAAAAATATTATAACTAAATAGACCACGATTTTTTTTTTTTTTTTTTTGCTAGTTAAACAGACCACGATTTAAATGTGCCTATTAATATCGATATTTCACTTTTGAGGTCTTCGAGCAGTACAACTGCAGTTGTACGTAGAATCAAGAAGGATAATATTAACAATTATTTGTCAATTCGTATAAAATTCTTTGTTGACGTGAGCATTTTTGACGAAATTTTACCATTGGAAAAAAAATAATAATAAAAGAAAAGAAGCCATACACGAATTCTATTATGACTAAAAGATCCAATTCAAATCGACAAAAATAATTCAAAAAGTGGGCAGCACATCCTTATATGAATTACTTGCCAAATTAGATGACCAATCACGTGCCATAAACTGCCTTCTTTTATACAAAATTAAAATTTTTTATAGTACATGTTTGTTTATATATATATATATATACATATAGATATCTTTATATAATATGTTACTTAAAAGTTTCTTATAATATATTATAGCTTTTGTTTATCTTTTTCTTTTTGTTCTTCTTCACTGCAAAATACAAATTAAAAAAAATTAATAGTTGAAAATTATTCTATATAACATGAAAATCTTTAATTATATGTAGTGGAAATAAAAAGGAAAACATACTATATAGATAAATAAGTTTTGGGGATGAACTACTGAAAATTATTCTCATAAAACTTTTCCCATAATGTTGTTTCTTATAATCTAAGAAATGCAAATATCTATTTTTTGTATCTATTGAAAATAATGAAGTTGGATATTATCTCATCTCTATAGGCATCATTGTTCATTGAGGAGGTATATAACATGTTACAAATAGGAATTAAAACAAAGGTCAACAATCATGAACTAAAATATTATTTTTTTTAGCTATGGGCTTAGCAAACGAAAAATTTGAATAGGATCCTCATAAGATCTCTCTCTTTCAAAATTAATTATAATCATCATCGCCACATAAAAAAATTAAATAAAACTAAAATATGTGAAATAAAGATATGTATATACATCACTAAGAAACAAAAATAAAAATAAAAAGTTAATATCTCAGCAATATTTACTAATGAAGCACAACAAAAAAATAGACGTAGATAACTAACATTTATTAACAACAAAAGAGAATTTTCATAAACAGTATACATTAGTAGCATCTATTAATAACATAACAAAACCATATATGAACAAAAATAATAAAGCACAAACAACAGATATTAATATCACCACAACAAACTAATACATTCCATATCAGCAAATGCATTAAAAAGCTATAGACATAAGTTTTTTTTTTTTTTTTTTTTTTTTTTTTTTTTTTTTTAAAAAAAAGAGGATAAGAAAATACCTTTGGTTTTTGCAATAATATGTTCACAATTTTTCTGCACATTCACATAACCCAAGTTTATAGTTTCACTGAAGAGTTCTGCCCAGAGGTATCAGCGGCCGCATAGTCAATTTTCGAGCCAGAAATTAGACCGGCTAGAAATTAAATCCTGCAAAATTCCCTCCAAAGCGTCAAACATTCTTGTTGTTTTGGTGTTTAAAAAGAGTAGAAAATCTCATGAACCGTTCATTTCACCGATTCGAGTTTAAACTTCGAGTTTTACTACAATAAAAAGCTCTTAGAAACAATCATATTTAATCTTTTTACTACAGTTAAAAACTCTCATTAAAGTCACATCTTAACTCGAATCAGCGAATTAAACGGACCCTTTATTTTTTTTTTGTTGCTAAACAAACTCAGCATAATCTGAAAGACAGCATAATGAGATGCAAAATAACTCGGAAAGGCACTGTGAGGCCTGTGAGCTTCATAATAAGGACAAACATATTCATGAATGCATAGCTACCAGTCATTTTCCAACACAACCATCCAAAACTATCAACACGACTTTGTGTGAGCCCAGATTTCTGTTTTCAAATTAAGATCCAACGCACTAACCAAAAATAAAATAAAAGGTTAAAAAAATCGATTGATTATTAATATTAACCGATAAAATGAAAGAAACTCACCTAGGATGAATGATCTTAACACTTGTTTTCATATTAGGCTGCGACCAGTTGTATACGATTGAACCTGCAATTCCGCGAAGCGAAAGAGTCTTTCTTTGCTACATCAAAAGAGAAAAAAAATAAGAATAAAAAAAATCAGAAGACTATCACCAATTTCGTTCAAAAAGAAAGGCAAAAAAAAATAAAAAATCAAGGGTTACCCACAAACCTAATAAGAACAACTCGATCAAAAACAAAAAAAAAAAGTATTTTTTTTTTAATGCAAATCACTAATCTGTTGACATCTTGAAACATATAAGAAACAAAAAACAAAGGTGGAGAAACACAACAAATATCTCACCATGAGTTGAAGTGTAATGTCACTCATCTAAACTGCTTTCTAAAGAATAGAGTCTCCAAAAGAACGGTAAATGGGATGATTGCTAGCTTTGTCATCTGAAACGCAAAAGACAGATATGCATTAGCATGAAATAAATGTCGTTTTTGAGAAATGCATAAAGATATGTACTCTGAACAATGGTCAGTAACCGCTACAGTTCAGCATTACCCCGTTTATTTTATCAATTTAAGTTTAAAATTTGAGTTTTGTTACAGTAAAAAACTCTAAAAAACAATCACATCTAACTTTTTTACTATAGTAAAAAACTTTCACATAAAGTCACGATCTCAACTCAAATTAAAAATTCGAATCAGCGAACTAAACATGTCCTAATAACCATTCAATACCTGGATAAAAAGAACAAAAAAAATAGAAACCCAATGATGAGAAACGAATAAATAAAACAAAATTACCTGATAGAAACCAACAGAATTAATTCAAAAGTCCGATGGATATTCCATTTAGTGTACCAAATCCCATGACAGCTCTTACATCAAAAGGCTTGTGTTCAAACAATTTCATCCATAATGCAACGTGAAGAGAGCAAAATGTGACCAAAAGATGCCAACTTGTCAAAGTCGTGGCTGTTCATTCGATATTCTGAGTTTGTGCGTTAAATAAAAGTCGAAGAAAGTAAATCATATATGGCGATGAGCAAGTGACTGAAACAGAAATGTTATGAGGGAATTTACACCCATATACAAACAGTAAAAATAATATGTTGTGTCCAAAGATTTTTGAAAAGGAATAAATCACAGAAATGTAAATTTTGATTTCCACACATTTAAAACGTTACAAGCAGTATATCGTTAAAGATGTAAGGGCATAATAACGTCCATCTCATAGGACTTCAAAATCGGTAGGTGATTTTCCTAAGCGTTGAGAAGAAATTGAATCATTTTGAAAATTTCAAATGAGAAGTCTCTGGTTTGGAGCCGTGTAAGGGGAAGAGACCGCTGCTTTTCAACCGTAGATCTAAGGCGTGTCTAGCATGGGATCACGCACTGAAACCATGCAAACTAGGTTAAAAGAGAGAGGTGAGAGAGTCTTTTCCATAAGCCATTATTCTTACTGCTCTTCACATATTTCTGGCGTTGAGAGATTCGATCTTGTTGGATTAATCTTTCAGGATCATAAAGTCCGTAACATCCAGTGTAGTTTACATTTCTAAAATATCTTATTTATGTTTTTAAGTAAGGTAAAGAAAAAAAAATGAAAGAAAAGAATGAAAAATGAAACTAAAATGTAACATACAGTTCATCTTGAAAGCTCCTGTTATTTCCTCCCCATCAGTTATCATTTGGTAGTTAAAACCTAATACAAGTTATAGACTAAGAATCTTCACTATCGATTAAGAGAAAAACAAACTCTCTGTTTGTTTTACAGGTTTGAATCACATGAATTCAAACTTATTTCTTATAGTATTTTTTATTATAAAAAATTAAATTTCTGTTTAACGAGTCAAAAATCACCATGAAAGAGAGACATGCACCTGTGGTGCAAAATCAAAATTTTCCATTTGAGAATATTGATAATCAGTTCTGCTGCATTGTGAAAAAGTGTTTGGTCTCTTTCTTCTTTCTCCAGCACGTGTGAGACCCATCATAGCATATGCCGTATGTAGTACGTACATCTGATCGAAAAACATACAGAACCAATCAAATTTAAGGAGCTAAAATTAAATACGGCCTCTTTGGAGTGTCAAGTATGATTGGGGACACAAATGAAAGTTTTGAATAAAGACCAAGTGAAGAAGAAAATATTGTTTGCACTATATTGATTGACATTTGCACTATAGATATATATATACAATTTGGCTAACGACTATAAAGCCCATTTAGAAAAAAACAGGCTGGTTGATTTGTATCCATTGGAGTTGGCTATGTCTGAATTATATTGGTATTTAATAGCTTGATATTTTCCTTATTAGTGCTTTGTGATTGAGGTCTCATATCATCTCCCTTCAAGTCTGGCAGTAAAGGTAAATGAACGTCAAGTTTGTGACGAAAATCCTCAAACAAATCGGATTTAGGAAATGCTTTTGTTAGTATATCAGCTATTTGTTTGGATGTATGAAGATAGCCTAGATGAAGTGACCCAGCAGTGAAATTTTCTCATACAAAATGACAGTCGATCTCAATATGTTTTGTCCGAACATGGAAGACCGGATTGCCAGACAAGTGTATGACACTCTTGTCGCCGCACAAAAGCAAAGGACGTCGTTCAAGATTTATCCCAATACCATGAAGCAGATGTTGGAGCCACACGATTTCTGCAGTGGTAGTTGCTAAGGCAATGTACTCAGCTTCCGCACTCGAGTGCGACACCGTAGGTTGCTTTTTTGATGTCCATGAAATGCAATTTGAGCCAAGAAATATGCAGAACCCAGTTGTGCTTCGTCTAGTAATTGGACATCAGGCCAAATGTGCATCACAAAAGGCATTAAGGGTGAGTGAGATTTGGACATCAGGCCAAATGTGCATCACAAAAGAAAACAACAAAACAAGTCGAAGGTCTTTCATGGTAGGATTTTGGAAATGTTGGCAAACTAAGAGCGCGTTTAGAATTCGTTCTAAAATAATTTTATTTTTTGTATGAAAATGAAAATGTTTTCAATTTCAAACAGAAATTATTTTTAAAAATGCGTTTAGTAGTTTTATCTAGAGATTGTTTTTAGTATAAGAAAACTATTAATGTCTCTCTTTCTCTTTGCTCGAGAGAGGAGAAAACGAAAATAAAAAATGAAAAATGATTAAAGTCGTTTTTATTTCTCTCTCATTTTACACTAAACTAAAAAATCATTTTCATTTCCGTTTTTTTGTCTTTATTGTGCCAAACGCAATTTTAGAAACGTTTTTATATTTTTTTCTTGAAAAACGTAAAAAAAAAAGGAGATAAATTCTAAACACGGCCTAAGTCGATGACATGTGTGTCTAATCGAGTAAAGGTAAGATATTGGAGGGAACCACATAATTGCCTATAAGTAGTGGGATCAGTGTGGGATGTGTATCATCTGGAAGGGGAGGTTGTTTTTAAGCAATAGGGGTATTAACTTTGGTGGCATCTAGCATGTGTGCTTTTGCTAAAAGGTCCTTAGCATACTTAAGAGGCCATGTGAAAAATGCTCGACTTCGATACCTAATGGAGGTTTCCCAAATCTTTAAGGGAGAATTCCTTGTTTAATGGGGTAATGAGATGAGAAATAAACATGTTTATATGTATAGCATTTCTAATTCTAAATATGGTCATGTCATCGTGCTTTTTTTTTTTTTTTTAGAGAATTTAATACAAACCTTAAAAAATCTATTAACTTAACAAGACATAAAAAAAAAAAATCTTCACGATAAGAAAACAACAAAACAAACACATAATACAAAATTCAAGAAAAAAAATCTATCCTCTACATTAAGAAACTTATTAATTTAATAAATCCATTTAACATAAAAAAATTAACAAACTCATTACCTTGTATAAATTTGCTCCTAATTTTTTCTCTCTCTATTACATCTAACCAATTAATTTTTGGAAAATTGGTGCAAGTAATTTTTTTTGAGGGAAAGACATCCAATAAATCACAAATATCAGACATAATCAACAATTAAATAGCCATATCAATATTTTCGTTAAAAAAATTAACATAATCAAGACGGAGTGGGAAAAGTTAGAGACGTGTCATAGTTCTGGGCACAACAAGTACATAAAAAGTTCACGTGGCATGTTGACACACGTGATAAAGTTCAAGGGAAACCTATAATAATTTTCGTTAAAAAAGTTCACAGATTCAGAACCATTCTCGATTTATGGGTGTTTTTTATGAGAAAAAAATACTGTAACGAGACACAAACCATAACACGAATCCTCATACCAAACACTAATGACATGTTTACTTAACATGATTGAAGAATGAGAGTGGGGAATGTGAGTCAATCCCCTGTTTACTTGCTCTTTTTTATCATGGAATAAGAGTGAGATTGGTGGGTCCTACTCAAATTTGGGATTGAGGAATGGAATTGGTACTCCCATACCTCCCATTAGGATTGAGATTCTCATTCCTAATATTAATATTAATTTACTATTATACCCTTATTTTACTTATAAATACAAAATTAAAAATAAAATTCAAAAAATAATAAATGCAACATATATTTATTATTTTATTTGCCTAATATTAAAATATTAGCATAATTATTGTTAACTTTAATATAATAAATATGTACTTTATTTTTAATAAATTAATAATATATTTTATTTTTTAACACTATTTTTTATTTTTATTTATTTTATTTAAAATTTATTTTTATATTTTAAATAGTTGTACAATTTATATTTATTATTTTAGTACCCAATTATTACACAAAATATTTTAATTATGATTAATTTTAATATAATAAGTACACTATATTTTTTAAATTGAAAATAT